TAGCACATCAGGGAATAAAGCTATATGTGTATTCTGACTGGTTAACCTCTTTAGGTCTCAAATTTTGTAGCATTTTAAAATTTGCAATATGATTTTAGAAACTTTGGGCAAAGTTTTATATATATATATATATAAATGGCTAACAAAATGAGCTTTGGAATGAGTAAAATAGTGTTTGAATTTTGTTATATAATAGTGGCTTGAGTGACTTATTCTTTAAATTATAGTTGCCACATCTGTAAAACAGGAGAAAATATATTTTTTTGATTGCTGTAAATATTGGATAGAGGATCTCACTTTGGTGCATTATATCTTTACATTATATAATGGTTGTGGTTGCAATAACAGTTTCTGACTGTCCAGTATGCTGGCACTAAAATACTGCTGTTTTTTGGTGGTGTAATACCTGTACTTTAATTCCTTCATAGCTGACATATCCACCCTCCTCGTGTCCCAATTCTTCCTCTGTGCCACTTTCCTTACTCCAAGTTTCATCATCCTGAATTCTCTCTTTACAGGTGTCCCAGTCTTTTTTTAATACTCGTCACCTGTAACTTCTCTGTCCTTGATCTCCTTCCCCTACCCCTGCTTCCCTGCACCTCAAAAGGCAAAAACTTATGGTTCGGAATGGAAGAGCTGTCTGCAATTGATGGATCGCTCCACTAGCAGAGGATGGAGGAAAGTAGGGAAAAATAAAGAACACTGCAGCAGGTAGCAGATATAGAAGCGCTGTCTGGAGGCTGTGGGCCTACGAGGAAGGGACTGCAGTCCAGTGAAATGAAAGGACAGGCAGAACCTGAGAGTGGCCATTGGCACCAGCCTGAGATTACCCCTCAAAGGCTGTTATTTTAAGAGAAAGGAAATGGAGTCATTTATCTTGAGATCAAAGTTTAAGGACTCAACAATTTAAGATGACTTGTTGAACCCATCTTTCTTTACCAGTTGCACACTGCATTAGGATTTTGAATTGAATAAAGTTGTATTTGTGTAGACCTGTTTTTTTTTTTTCCCCCTATACCTTCATGATCTTAGGAGCAGAAAGGAAATGACAGTGTGCAAAAACAACAAAACTATAAAAACACCAAGGCTTTTGCTATATTTTTTTAGTTGAAAGATTGTTTGAGGAGGCAGAGTCTGATCCTGAGAGTGGGTAACATAGGGATCCAGACCAGAACCTCCATCTGTAGCAGCCAAGCTCCAGTAGTTGAAGATCAAATAGAAATGCTTGCTTGGAAATAATAGAGCTCTTTTTCAATTAAAAAATATCGCTGTTTCTGCACACACCTACAAAGTTTAAAAAGTGCTTCCTAGAGTTATCAAGCCAGAGATGTATTTGTTTGAAGATAGAGTCTGAGAAAGTGCTTGAAGTTACCTTTTAATTATCCCATCAACATTCCCCAGACTCAGAAATGTACTTCTTCAGCAGCTGGGAAAAACAGTGCAAAAATATATACAGGAGTTGATGATGATACACAAAAAAAGTTTAATCTTTATTTTTTATTAAGTTTAAATTAGCAGCCTTCATTTTTATTTAGGGCTTAGTTTACTTTTAGGGTAACACTGTATTTTTATTTTGCCAATTTATACTAAAATTGTTTTTAATATTTATGTTTTTGTAAAGGTATACTTTTGTGTTCAAGTATTTCTGAATTTTTGCATTTGAAATACATAAATTGGTTTCACTAATTTGTATTTTTATGTATTTTTAATACATTTTTGTCAAGTAGATGTATTAATATACAAAGTAGACACTTCCATTTTGCCCTGGTAGTCAGTCACTCACTTAGAGGAGGTCTAAGTCACATTTCAGAGGAGAGCTTAGGAATGAGAACATTTCATCGCATCAAGAGAAGTGTGGGAGGGCAGGGTTCTTCAGATGAGAACGAGCACCCGGAGTTTGAGCAGCTGGAAGTTCAGGAGAGTGTAGTTTAATAAGATGAGGGAAAGAACTGAACTGAGACTGGGGAGAGGATGCTGGCAGGTTGTGAGGGACTTTGGGAAGCCAGGAAGAGTTTCCACAGACCCCTGGGAAGCCAGCGAAGGATTTTAAGCTTGATCATGATGACCAGACTTAAAAGGGTCACCCGGTTCCTCTGTGAAAGGAGTGGGGGCAGACTAACTGGTTAGAACTTACGAACAAGTGATGAGCGGGCAGGACACTGACCAGGGGAAAAACTAACAGTAGACGAAAGGGAATGACACTGGGTCTAGCTCAAGTGCAAGGTGAATGTGGCGGCAGCCCTGAAAGCAGGAGAGCTGAATTGATGGAATAAAAGTGGTGGGTTTGCTTTTGCTGATAACGCACGGGACAAAAAATTGAGAGTTTCATTCAGGTATTTCTAGGACTTGGAGCAGTCTGAAGTAGACACACCCTTTCGAGAGTCATCAAGGTTGAGATCTCAGTTGAAGGCCGGAGAGTGGAGTGGGAGGAGGGTGGGGAACTACAATAGCCAGAGTAGTAGAAGGAAAATCAGGGGGAAGTGGTATCACAGAAACCCAAGTGTAAGAGTGTTTCTAGAAAAAAATGAAACAATCTACTGTGCCAGCTGCTGTGGGGCGTTGGAACAAGGTTAGGACGAAAAGTATTTAACTTTCTTAACTTTCAGGCTCATTGATGACCAGTGCACTGGAGGTCAGATTATAGTAATTCCAAGGTGAGCAATTAAGCAGCTCTTTTAAGAAGTTTCCAGGAGTTGAATGTAACTTATATTTAAAGATGGAGACTTGAGCCTGATAAATAATGAAGGGAATGAGCAAGTAGAGAGGGAGACATTAAAGATGGAGAGAAGGGTAAACAAGACATAGAGTCCCGCAGTGGTGGAATAGGCAGAGGCCAGGATTTAGGGAGTGGTTGGGTAAAGAAAAGGAAGCAAAAGTCTGGATACAGGTAAGTTTGTGGTTATGATGGTGAAAAATAAAGGTGTATGCCTTTGGATTGGCTTCTTTGTGATATAGACAACATTATTTACTGAGATTGAGGAGGAGGTAGTTGGCAGGGGGTGGGAGTAGTTGCAGGGGGTTGGTTGAAGCTAGAATAGAGAATGTGTGAAATACTGTTCTGGAGAAGAGGGAAGAGAGATGACCACCAACAGCTTGAGCAAGAGTTGAGGGTACTGATGGTACCCATTGATTGCAGCCCATTACTTTGTGACTTCCCAGCAGCAGAGAACAGCAATCACATCTGCCCTTCCGGAGGTGGTGGGGTGTGTCAGAGGAGTTTCTAGAATTGGGTGTCAGTTGAGTCCAGGAAGTTCAAGGAACAGCATATGATGGCCGTGACGCACACTCACCCTTGACAACTCCACTGTCGTTCTGTGCTGCAGTATGAAAATAGCCTCTGAAGCTATGGAAGTGTGTTGAGCTCTCTGCTGCTTCAGTAAATGGCCCCAGACTGCTGTCTTGTTTTTCTTTAAGTTCTTGTCCGCTTTTTTATACGATTTCTGTCTCCTCCCTTTTGTTTCCTTCCCTGTCGTCGGTCGTTCTATCACTTTGCTGTCTGCATGCAAGTCTGTATCAGCCCTACACTCTGGACTTTGTCAGCATCTGGAATTATCACACCTCTGAAATAAAGCGGTGGGCTTGAAGACCAGACAACCAAGCTTATTAAAATTATGTGCAAAGTAAGAGTAAAAAACCTCTGAGTGTGATTCTCACGTGCTGTGCTTTGAGGGTGTACGTGAGTGTTTGTACATAAATCTTGTGACATGTATTGGATTGTTTCTCAGTTGTCCATCTTTGAGATGTTTGCTGCCTGTATTCCCATTGTGTTTTTCTTCTTTTGAATTTCCATGGGTTATGATATCTGGAGAATTCTCAGTATTTATAATTATGCCTTTTCTAATGGTCCTTTAGTAATTGTAAAATACATTCGTATACGTAATTTAGCTAGATGATTTGACATTTTATACTGTTATTTCTTAATATTCTCATGGATTTTCAAATATGGATGTATTTTGTATGGGAATAACATGGATTTTCAAATACCAGTGTATTTTGTATGAGATTATGTGCCATGTCACAACTCATTTCGCCATGTCACATGTAAACAAAATAAGACAATGCGAAATATTTTAGAGGTTTAAAAAGTAAGTCATCTACTCTAACTTTACATATATTTCGTGTTTTTTGAACTTCCTCATCTGTGAACATTTCATGTATATATCAAAATTTTAATCTTTTCAAGAAATGTATACTTAGGTGCACAGTAATGTCGTTCCGTTATTTTCTAGAGATCAATTTTGGTTCTCACTTTCCTTCTTGTCAGGAGGAAGGCAAATTGGGCACCAGTCATTTGGAGACTCCCCCAATGCTTCGGTTGCTCCTTGAGCAATACCACAACACGGAGGAGAGGCCCCAGTACCCTGCTGGTCACTTGGGAGAGAGGCGGCTTTGCTTGGGTGCCGTCTGCGCTGCCTGCCTGGGGACCCCTGGTGAAGCCCAGAGCCCTCCCTGGGTCTAGGCTTCTCCCCTGGGGCCCTTGGAAGCCCTTTCTCTGAACTCCTGCCCCAGCTCAATCGGTCTCCCTGGGAGCAGACTGCTGCTCTGTGACTCACAGACCTCCTTCCTCTCCATAGTCCGGGGAAATCTTCTTTAATCTCGGGGAAACCCCTTCCTCCTCAAACTCTGTTCTCAACAGATTTAGGGTTCCCCCCCCCCTTAAACTAGAGAAGCCCTAACACAAACCTTCCCTTAGTCAAGGAAACACACACAATGTAGCCTACTTAAATGGTAGATATGGGAAAAAAACACAATTTTTTTTTTTAAAAATAGTACAATGGTAAGTTACAAGGTAGTGAAAAGCTCAGCAGGCACCTCTGCTCAGTGTTAACCGCCTCCGAAACTAAACCTGTATAGCCCGGTCTTTGTTTTTATAACTCATTGAAAAATATTAATGTTTGTTCAGTGTTTTTGCATTTTATTAATATAGAATAATGTCTGGGAGCTTGAAATATAAAGCAGAATATAACATCCTAATTTCATTTTGTCTTATTTTACCTAAGAACACTGGAACTATTTCGGGGCTGATGAGAATCTTGGTCCGGTGGCTGTGAGCATTCGAAGGGAAAAACCAGAAGAAATGAAGGAAAACGTATCTCCATACAACTACCGAATAATTTTTAGAACTAGTGAGGTAAGTTGCAAATGAGAAAGACTTGAGGCTTAATTGATGTGAGAAAAAAATATAGTAGCAGGAGTAAAGGAATTAAATTTGATTGCATGTGGTTACAAATGTCTGGAGAATAAACAAAGGCCACTTTCATTCATTTTGGTGATGGGGCGGGGGGATGTGATGGTTACATCTGGATCCTTCTGTCCAGCTCTGCTTAGATGTAATAAATGAATGGGAGAATTGATACAGAGCGAGATGTGTCCCTTAAGAGTGTCCCAAGGAAATTGGAGTCCTCAGACTCCCAAATGGGATATAGAATGTCCTGCTCAGGCAGCTGGAGAGCCCCGTGCCAGCTTGGGGGCCAGAGCGTATATATGAGAGAGGGTCACCCAGGCCTCAGCTCATTCTTCCAAACTAGTACTCTTGACATCTCTTGACCCAAGAAGAGGAAAGAGACTCTTTTCTTCATCATCTTTCATTTAGCTATCTGCAAGACCTGTTCTCTGAGGCCTAGAAAGCAGACTGTTTGAACCAATGTGAAATTGTGGATGCATCAGGTCCCTGGAGCTCTTTAGAAATTAACAAACACAAGACCTGTGTTTTAAATGAAATTCCAGTTACAAAAAGAAAAGGAAAAATAGCCAATAAAGCATTTTTTAAAAAATTCACTGGAGAAGACCTGATGATCACGAGGTGGTATAGTACATACCGGTATGGGGCTTGCTGCTATGAGCCTGAAACCTGTCATCTGATTCACCAGTGCAGCCTCAAAAAAATTTATTTAAAAAAAAAAAAAACAACCACTCATAAACATTTGGGACAATGAGGGTTTTTTTTTTTTTGCTTGTTTTGTTTTTAAAGATTATTTATGCTACAAGAACTGGGGTATAGGGCAGAGGTGCAGGGGGTGAGAGGATTCACCAGAGAAAGAGTGGGAAACAGAACAGGCAGATCTACTGAAATATACTGCTGAGGGGAGCAGCGGGCGAGACCGGAGAGGCCTGCTGCGCCATGTGGCTAACTCCCTGGTTGGGGATCGAACTCATGTTGCAGTGGCTGGTAATAGCTTGATAGTGCTGTGTCTTTAACCCCTGCACCACAAGGGCTTTAAGCATATGTGAACATACGCCAGTTATCAGTTAACTTCCTCTCAGCACTTAATTCACTTTAGGGCTGTGGTTGTCCATTAATTCCTAATCTCCCTGCTTAGCATCTAGATAATACAGGTTTTGAAACTAGTTTAAATAGGGTATTTGGTTTTATTTTCTCCATTGACTGCAAGGCAGCTTTCCAGGGTTGGCTTCACTTAGTAATTGTTCTTATGCTTGAACTCTGGGGAAATCAAAAATAGGATTTTTAATGGCAAGACTTTAATATCTAATGTGTTTTATAGAGGGGCCAGAGAGAAATGAAGAACTAACATACTCTAGTGTACTTTTGCTCCATGCCAGAGCTAGCTGTTAAGCCGTGGAAATTCTTTTGCTGCCCATGGGAAGCACAGAGAGGACACTTGCTTTCGAGGCTGGACATAAGCAGTTGCTCGAGCTGACTGCTCAGCTCCCACCACATGTCCATGAGCCTCAGTTATCCTCCCGAGTGCTTCTGTCCTCTTGTTCTTACCTCTCCTCCCAAGGTCATTCTGATTTAACCCCCCTGATAATCTTCCCTTTCTGTTCATCTATTTAAATTCTTCCTCTTGCCATTAGCATCTCATCCTTTATGTCAGACTTTGAAAATTTCTAAATCACTGGAGAAAACTTTTGATGATCACGAGGTGGTATAGTACATACCGGTATGGGGCTTGCTGCTATGAGCCTGAAACTTGTCATCTGATTCACCAGTGCTGCCTCAAAACAATTTATTTTAAAAAAAAAAACAAACAAAAAACAAAACTTCTTTCCCAGATCCTGTCACTGGTTTCCTTGCTTGTCCTCTTCCACTTGCAGGCACTCCACACCTGGCCCTCCTCTCTTTCTCCCCAATATAACCCCTCTCCTAAATGTACTTGACCCCTCTGTTCCCGTCAGTGGGGAGCTACTCTTCCACACCTCAGTTCTTTCCCCACTCACTAGCTGCGCCTAAAATGCTCTCCCTGAATCTTCCAGTCCTTCAGTCCTTATAGTTCAGACCCCATCTGCTAACCCATTTGAGTGAGTTAGAGCCTTTGGGTTCATTTCCTTAGACTTTGAAATGTCCAAATCAAAAGTTGTCCATGTTAAAGTAATGCTTAGCTGATGACGACTCTCTTAGTACAGTTGTTCAGGCCAGGAACCTTGAAGTCACATTTGACTCCTCTCTTCTTATCCTTCCTTCTCCATAAATCTAATCTGTTAGCAAAACTTGCTGACTTTGTCCTCAAAACACACCCCAAATTCAACCTCCACCATCATCTTGCTCTGAGAACAGTTCTTCCTGCTTCTGCCCTTAAGCCCTGTGTCCTTTCAGCCCAGCAGGGAGCCTTTTGAAATGTAATCTAGAGCTTGCCATTCCTCAGTCAGCATCTTTTAATGGTTTGCCATCTCCTCTGCTAGTTTAAGGGGTACAGATCATCTGCTTCCCCCTTGTCTCCAGATACGCCCACTTGGTCTTTTGAGACCGCATTGACCTCATTCTTCTGGGGCCCTTTCTGGCCACCTGTGCCTCGGGGCTTGAATACTCCCTGGTCCCCTGTAGTGCATGCTCCTCCCCAGGCATCTTCTTGGCTGCAGTTCTCTCTTTTCCTTCTGACCTTTATTCATAAATCATAGGGGCCTTCCTTGGCCACTGAATCCAAAATTCTTACTCCCTCAAGTCCCCATTTCATATCCAATTCCAGACTATAATTTTTGCCACAATCACTCAGCACATTCTGGCGTATTACACATATTCATTTTGTTTGCTTTCTGTCCCCTGACACCTCCCCCCCCACCCCCATCAAGATCCATGGGATGGGAAATTTTGTCTGAGTTGCTGATTACTACATGCCTAAAGACTAAAGTAGTACTGTCCCTCCCTCAGTGTGTCTTTGCTTCCTTTTCCTCCCTCCCTCCCTTCCTAACTCTGATGTCTATTTAATTAATTGCCACTAGCTTTGGTGTATTTTTTTTTATTCTTATAATATTCTTTAAAAATATTCCTTAAGTATGGTTTATTGTAATATTTTTATGCTGCTTTGCATAGAAATAAACTAGCAGAAGCTCTTGATAGCATCTCTGGATGCTGATGTCCATCACTTCTGCACTCGGCGAGGCAGAAACTCTGTGCCCTGCTCACTGTAGCCAGTTCACTACATGTGAGGTTGTGTAAGACCTAATTTTTATGCTTTTGGAAGGATATCTCAGGCTACTAATTTCTCATGCTTATTAACTTGTCAAGAAAAAGGAAAATATGGTCACCACAGTGATACTCTCATTTCATTAACTAGCATCAAGATAACAGAGATACAGCTTATTGTCAATAGATAGAATTATTGCGAAAACAGAAACCACTAACTATCTATTTGTGAGACTGGCAGTTGTGTATGAACAAGATCTTAGGGTGCATGTGCTCTTGTTAGGGGGAAGTGATGTCCTGAGTTAATCCCATACAGGCTTTGTGGACCCCACCCCCACTCCAGACTAAAGCCATCAAGACTCTGGGAAAGACAAATCCCATCACCACCAAGGGAGGGTGGCTGGGACCTGAGGGTGGAGTTGGGCAGCCAGGTTGGATATAAAAAACCAAACACGTGGGCCTTGGGCTCTCTCTCTGGCTCGCGATCGCTCGCCTCCTGGCTTCACCGCTCCTGGCTGGCGGCCAGCTCTCAGAGCGCCATTTTGGGATTCCTGATTGGCGGATCGGGTAGGACTCATTTAAAACTTTGTCTCCCACTTTTCTCCCAGAGCTGTACATTTCCTCATTTCCCCTTCCCTTGTAAATAAACCTTTTATGAACCTTTCACGTGTGCCTGCAGTAGAGCATTGATAAGTCCTTTTAAGCGCGCGGGTGAGGACCCACAGTCAGGCACCCCGTTTTGTATCGGGGTTGCTCTACAACACTCTGATGCATAGGCGCACAGGGGATCATGAGGATGCCCTTCTGGTTTCTGGGATTCATCAGCAGAAATGCCAGTGATATTAGTGATTCATTTATAAAAACTGGCCATTCTTTTCCTCCCCTGCCTTGGCTGTGGTGAAGTGAGCTGCTGTCTCTCTGAGGCACAGGATTCGCAGTGTTGAGCCTTACTGGTCTGGGTTGCTGGACTGAGAATACTTGCAGCTTTGGAGCTTCTTACCCCCAGGTCCATGTCTGGGGTAGGGAGGTGCGGCGGGGAGGGGACCACTGAAACTGAGTTAGTCAGCAGTTTTTCTGGGTGTTAAAAAGCAAAACAAAAATGATTTCTCAGCTAAAGATTTGTCATATTGGTAATGGGAAAATGCTATTTTTTTTTAAAGATTTATTTATCAAGAGGCCAGATGAGGGGGAGGGGTGAAAGGATTCACCAGAGACAGAGCAGGGAACAGAACAGGCAGACTGTTGAAATACACTGCTGAGGGGAGCAGCGGGCGCAACAGGAGGGGTCTGCCGCACCATGTGGGACCCTCGCCGGCCTGCCGGGAACGAACCAGCGCTGCAGAAGCTGTGGGACAGCTTCACAGCGCGGTGCTCAACCCCCTGCGCCACCAGGGGAGGCCGGAAAATACTATTTTTTACACTAATGTTTGTTTGAAAATAAATTATTCAGTATTTATAAGTGAAAGAAAAGGAACTAATCAAATGAATTGACTGCAAATACCTCAAGTGCCTTTTTCTGTATTAGGAGTAAGATATTGGTAAGTTTTGCTTTTCCTACCCTCATCTCCTCCATCTGTGGTAAATATTCTAGATTGTACTTCTCGGGTGAAGCCTTCCTTTGGTTTCCATTTCCCCTGCTACTCCTCTTCTCCTGTTACTTGACGAATATTGCAGCTTCCTTTTAACTTTCTGCTCTGCCTCAAGTTTCTGCCTCTTGCAGTTCATCTTATTTGTCAACTTAGTTTTCTTAAAAAAAAAAAATAGTGGTCCCAGCAATCAGTATCATATCACCTAGGTGTTTAGGGGGCTATTCCATCTAGGTTTGTGCAGGTACACAGGTAGTCATACAGTGATGAAACCCCAAAACGGGGTGCATTTCTCAGAGTACATCCCTGTCATTAAGGGGGAGGGCTTGCCCTGGGCTTCTACCCCACCTTGAAGCTTCACCACCTGGCCCTCCCTTTGCTCTCTTTAGCCCCTGCAGTAGTAATGACTTTTCCCCACTCACACTGGTTCCTTCTGATCTCTCTGGCATTTTCTCTTTTTGTAGCATTTTTCCTGAATCCCATGGCCCCCTTTTAGTGCTACTCCTTCCACGAGGGATGTTCTTAACCCCCAGGCCACAACTGTTTCCTCTCTTAGGAAGGAACTAGTTAAGCTTTGCTCAGTAAATACCCCGCTTCCTGAATGCTTTGGTGTCTCACCCTTTTCCCTCACCCCCCAGTATATCCCGCTGTTAGCTTTTGCAGCTCCTGTTGCTGTGCCATGTTCTCATCCCCTGCATGCTTCAAGGAAATTTGCTTAATCGTTTTTTTATTCCCTTTGGTCAGCATACAATGTTTAATTTAATTTTGTCATGCTTTGCCAGGCGAAAATGTTTGGAAATGCAGATTACTTTTAAGCTTTATGCTGGATAACTTTGCTCCAGCAAACCCTATCACCACAGAGGGAAATTTCTTTGTTTGTGTCTATATGTGTCTTTATGTATGTCTATATATGTTTATATATAGTAATGGGAGGTATTGCCAATAACAAGGGGACACCTAATGTAACTTCAGATGCTGCTGGCTGTTCTGTGTAGCCACCACAATCACTGCCCTACTGTAGCAGCATTTGGGACGATGAATAGTTTATGCTTCTCAGCAATCTCACAACATTTAAAACTTTGCCCCCCCCCCCTTTTTAGGATTTATTTATTTACGCATACAAGAACTGGAGTATAAGCCAGAGGTGCAGGGGGTGAGAGGATTCACCAGAGAGGGTGCAGCAGAGCAGAACAAGCAGATTTACTGAAATACACTGCTGAGGGGAGCAGCGGGCGAGACAGGAGAGGTCTACTGCACCATGCGGGTTGCTCCCTGGCCAGCCGGGGATCTAAGGTGTGCTGCAGTGGCTGCAGATAGCTTGATAGTGCTGTGTCTTTAACCCCTGCATCACCAGGGAGGCCCCTTGCCCTCCCCCTTTTATAATTCAAAAAGGTACATCATTTAAATTCTGGAAATATGTATTCTTAGCTGTTTCTCTGGGGTATGTCATTTTTCATGAGTGAGTCTGCTTAGTGTCACTTTATAGCCATGTCTCGAGCCCTTTAGGGAAGTGCTTTATTTGGCATTTAAGCAAATGTCTTAGGCAGGCTTGGATATGAATTCCCTTGAACTGGCCTGGGTCTTCTTGAAAGTGTTGGCCTCCTGTTGTTCCCATGTAAAGTCTTCTGTCCCTTCCCTCAACGACTTGAGCAATCAGGCGTCATCCCCAGCTCCCCAAGGAGGCCCGCTGTCTAGGTTTTCGGTGCATTTGATGCATCCACTCAGCTCACACCTCCAGAGAGGCTTCACCGGAGCACGTTCTCTTTCAGCTCATGACACTGAGAGGTTCGGTCCTTGAGGATGCCATTCCCTCTACAGCAAAGCACTCGACTGCCAGAGGGCTGCCCCTGAAGGAGGTGCTGGAGCACGTGATTCCTGAGCTCAACGTCCACTGCCTGCGGCTGGCCTTTAACACCCCCAAAGTCACAGAGCAGCTCATGAAGCTGGACGAACAAGGGGTAAGTTGGGCTTCCAGAGAATATTCTGGGTGCTCATATTTCCCACTTGACTTCCAGAATACAGCCCTTAATATTTCTTTTCTGACAAGGAAAACTGATACCGTTTATTGTGAAGGATATTCTCTGTGAAATTACTCATTTTCTCTTAACTCTGAACATTTCTCATCTGATGAAATTCTCTATGTCAAAAGTGATAGATGTGGTACTAAAATATGTTCAGGTCTCTTCCATATGGTAATAGTCCATAAATGCAGTGAATTTTAGAAGCGCGCTAAGAATAACTAGTAGCAGTAGCAGTAATAGTAAATCCTAAACACTAATGAATATAATTTGCCAGGCTCTGTTTTAAGTGCCTTAAATACTGTATCTCATTTAATCTCTCAGCCCTATGAGAATGGTTACTTAATATCCCCATTTTAGAGTTAAGGAATCTGAAGCATAGAGCGATTTATTAGTAAGTCCAAGTTCACATAGTTGGTATGTTCTGGGTTTATATTGTTAGTTGCCACACTACACTGTGTGTGTTTATTGAGGTAACATTGGTTTAGGTAACCAGTGAGGTAACATAAGGTTCAGGGGTATAGATTCACACCTCTACAAATGAATGTTATCACACCAGTCACACTACTTAAAAGCTTAAATTTTTAAAGTCTTTTAGTACCACCAAAGATATGTTTTAATCAAGATTTCTTAATACAAAATTTAAAAAATTTGACTCTTAATTAGTAACAAAATGAAAATGATCAAGATTTTTCTCTCCTCATAGTTCCTGTACCTTAATGTGGGGGCTGTTGTGTATGGATGCAAGCGAGTGACAGGCTAAATCAGATAGAGGCAGCAAGCAAGTAGAGAATGAAAAGTTATGGTCCAGAAAATCCACTAAGGGTAGAGCTTATCTACATTCTCCTTGGACTAATTTGAACTTATGAACTAGCTTTGATAGATGTTATATTTATATACTCTTATTTTAACTCTTTCTTTAAAAACTTAAATAAATTCTGTAACATCTTGGCAGTCAGTGATTATGATTTATCAGAAATTCCTCCAGTGGTGAAGTAAGTCCAGTCAATGAATGCCATTTTACAAACAAATTATCCTTAATTAATCAAAAATTCCCATTTCATTCAAATGATGAGAGGTATGTAAACTTAATTGAGCCAGTGGGAATATATTTTGAACCAATATTTGAATGCAATTTTTTTAATCTTTCCTCTCTCTGCCCATTCATTTCACTTATGATAAGGTACAACTAGTAACTATCACATACAGATATTTGAAGTAGACTGTGAATGTCCATGTTTATGACATGTAAATATGAGACACTTTGAATGCTTCAGGAGACAATTGTTTCATAAACTTGTTTTTCAAGAAATTGAATGTTTATTCTAATAAAGGAGAAGTAGGAAAATGATTAGGGTCAACTTTATTGATTCAGTCTTTTCCATTACTGTGCTTTTTTCAAGGAGAATGAACATTCTAAATTCTACCTTAAACAGATTATTTCATATGAGGGAGATATTTATTGCCTTTTTTCTCCTTGTTTAGTTACGTTAAATTTAAAAAAAAGTACCCCAATTGTATCCACCCTTGTGGGACCTCTGGCACATTCTGTGCCCTTTCTTAGTGATTGCAAAATGTTGGGCTGCCCATGGGGCTGCCCTGTGATGAGCACCGTGTGGTCCCGTCAACATAGGAAAGAAACTAATGAGTTAAGCAAAGATCTATTATTCTGAAATTACTATGGCCTTACAATTCTTGGGGGGGGGGTATTAAAATATTCTTTCCTTTATAAATTATTGATAAATTATAGTTTGGTTGTTTAATGCCTTACCTTGGCAAAATTAAAATTTGGCAATCTAGGTGAATCTTCCCAATTTTATTTAGGGACTTTCACAAGGTAGTAGAATACAGAAGTTTAAAACCTGTTTTAAGTCATTTATAAGCAGCTCTATACCCAGACCAAAAATGATCCACCTTTGGTTTCTGTCATTTCTGTCTCCATAACATTCAAATCCAGGATTGTACTGATGAAAACCAAATGTCACACGTAATTAGGCTGGGAAGTCATTTTTTTCAATTGAAACCGGGACTGGAGAGTCATTTTTTAAAACAGGAAATCTCATTTTGAGAAACTGATTATTTGGTGCCTTTATAAATACAGATTTTTTAAAAGGAAATGCTTATACATGCAGTTGATTGTACATATGAATCATTGCATAGCATTTTTAGTTCCATCAATGTCATCATTTTTAAAAATTTAATGCTTTGTATATCCTTATGTTTAAGGAGATGCATGGTATGATACCAAGAAGCTGGAACTTGCTAAAAAACTTTTAAGCCTCCCCTTCAGTTTTATTTAAATGATTCCTTTAATATATTTTCTACTTTAAATGGCTCACTTCATTATGCTTGGAAAAAGGAAATGCTGTTTATTTGCTGTTTTGAGGCATTTGCTTTTCAGGTATTTGGTGCTCTGTTTTCTCACTTCACAGATTTAAAATCATAAGCTAAAATGAACAGAAAAATAAATTTAGAATTACATGTATAAAATATAAAAGAAAACATTTCACAAAAGCATAAGGACATTTTTCATTTGACTAGAGTCTGGTATGTACTTGGAACCAAAGTAGGCATTCTGCTTCCTGAAGTTTTTAGAAAGTGAATATACGTTTTGTGACTTCTCCAAGCTTTCACATTCTACTTACAGATATATTTCTGGGTCATTTACTATTTACTTTTGTCCACTTCATTATCATGCAAAAGGTCTGTAAGATGAAAGAGACTGCCAATGATTTCACACTTATAAGAACGCTTATATCTCAGAAAATTTGGATCAACTCTAGATTTAATTTATCCAGTATATTCCCAGAATTTCACTTATTAAAGGTAATTGAGAACCTCTCTCATGATAGATGTACATTAGGTTAAGTGTATATATTTACTCATTACTTTCTTTCTAAGCATCATCTGTTTGAGTCCTCCTGGCACCCAGCAGGAGCTTTCTCTTAGTGGCCTATGATAGGGGTGAAAGGTTGATTGAGACTTGCGGTTTTTTCCCTGCCAGTTTTGCTTAGGAGTCCTGAACTTAGAACACAAATTCGCATAATGCTGTGTTTCATCTTTAAGACCCCCAAGTTTTCATATACTTTTAAGTATCTTGAGTTCTTTCGACCCTAAAATTAGCCTTTGAAATATCAGGAATTTCATTATCTAGTCAACTTTTTAACAATAGGGCTCATTTAGTTACTTTAAATTCACCATAGCAAAGTCATTTTTCATCAGTCATTTAAAAAATACCTTTTTCATCTCCTCTATGCAAGTATCTATTTTAAAGAGTTTACATTGCAAAGCACTTAACACAACATTGGGTACATAGTGGACATGCAGTAAACACTGGCTGTGGTTGAAAATAATAAAATAGTAAGTATTAATAACCCTTTACACACATTATCTCATATAGTCTTTATAAACATCCTAGGAGAGAGCTTCTATTATAGGTTGTATAATTTATTATGCTTTCATAAGTAAATGTAACTATTTCATATCTAATAAAAGCTTATTGAGTAACCACTCTGCAGATTTTTGTGTACTATAGAGAATAAATAGGCTAGTAAAATACGGTCTTTACCTATGAGAGGGACAAGGTCATAAATTACTGTAATGGAAGTCAGGTTTAATATAGAGAGTATAATAGAGAATTGCAAACACAGAGCAATGGACATCCAAGCTGTTGGGGCTAAGTCAGGATTGGTTAGATAGATTAGGATGAAGCAGCCTTAGAAAGGAAGAGTATTTTGTCAGTCCAGAGGATAAGCAGTGTGGTGGTCTAGACTTGGGGTAGTAAGTGTAGTTATGGGGCAACAAGCAGTCCAGCTGAGCCCAAGTGTGAGGCATATGTAAGAGAATATTTTTAAAAAGTAGTTTTTATTGAGTAGTGAGTAAGCCAGGTGTGCAGCAATTTACATGAATTATTTTAATTAATCCTCAGGCTCCTTTGATGTAGGTGCTATTCTTGTTCTTGTTTTACAGCAAGAACACTGAGGCACACAGAGGCTAAAAAAACTCCTCCCCCATCACAATTAGGATCTGGTGGAGGCAAGCCTCAGACTCCTGAGGCCACATTCTCAGCCAATAGGCTGTGCAGACACCCCATCTTCCTTCCCCCTCCCTGTAAGTGGGAGAAAGAACTGAGAAAATGGCTCCAGGCTTGATCGCTGCATGTTTCAATGCTTAATATTAAGTATAACATGTTAAGCCCAAATACAGTTGGAGTAGAGGTTAAAGATCTTTAAAGTACAATTGCTAGTTTGCAATAAAGAAAGTTGGTCCAAGTTTCATGTACACGCTACCGGTTTCACTTAAATGAGTATCTCCAGTTTTCCTAGATTTTATTAAAAAGGCAACGAAATGAAAATATTCTTGGATTCTTTTGTCTTTGCAAAGTTACCCTGCAAGTTTTTGAAATTAAAGGGGGGAAATGATCATCCCTAATGAAGTATGCAATATATACCTCAAGGTTAGATGGAAGTAAAGAGGCAGTGTTTATTTGGTATGGAATAGTGCTGATGCTTTGATTAGGAAGTGAATGAAGCTCTTTGTTGACTTAGCTTATTCATTACCATGTGCATTATTATTGTGGATAATAAATTTGACCAGCCACTTTGTTCTTTGATTCAGAAAGCTAAGTTTGAAGAATGAGCTATAGGGAAAACATTTTTTCCAAAGTCCATTTTCTGTGGATGAAGCTTTGGCAGAACAATTATCCTTCCTAAAATTGTAATTTCCTCTTAGATTATGATATCAACTCATGCATGTTTAAATTTCAGATTGCTGTCCACATGGTTTCAGGAAACCCCCAGACCCTTAGGTATATTATCAGGAAGAAAATATACATGATGGCCATGAGGTCAGAGAAAGAATGGAGTGACATTGGTAGCTTTGTCTTGTCTCTTCATAGGTCAGTGATTGCTCTACAGTTTGGCCTGTCCGTTCTCTTTGGC